CCTCCAACCTATGTGTCTTTTCCTGCCTATTTACGCGACCGGTTGCGACACGGCTTCGATCCTTTTTGTGCCTCAGGAGCCCACCGAGCCGCATTACTTTACCATCGAAGACCTGTACCCGAGTGTCCCGGCCACAAGCGGAATGAACGGTGGAGGAAACTGTCGACAACAACGAGGCATTGAAGTGGTTGTGTTTCAGGGAATTGGTCTGTGAAAGGGAACCCGGGGACCCGGGAACCTGCAACCCGCCCTCCTGCCAAGCTGCTTTGATCGGCGGCTAGCACGGCACCGATCGGTCGTGGTGCTGCGACATGCATGGTCGAAACTGGAGGTAGAAACGGAGAATCTGTATGGAAAAAGTTACGCAACGGCAAAAAAGGGTTGGGGGGGCATGTGTGGGGAGCTGCATGAACAAACAATGAACTGGTAGCGGTCAACCGCGCTGCATGAACCCCAAGGTGAACTCTACGAGATCTAGGTGAGACTGGTGAAACCTAGCAGGAACAGGGTCCCTTCGCCCTTGGGCCCGGGCTTTCCCGGAGCCCTCGCCTTTGCCTTTGACCGTTTTCCCGGAGCCCCTTGGCTTTGCCGTTGTTCTTTTTCGCTCCAACTCTTCTGGGGTCTTTGCATACGGGTTTTACCCGTCCTCGCTTCTTGACTTCAGCATTCAAGTGGAGGAAACAGTCAAACCTGTGTTGAAGCGATGTGCTCCAAGCATGGTACCGGTTCACTGGGTAGCACTCAAGAGGCAGATGCTGAGAAAGACATGGAATTCCAGCCAGTGCATCGACATATTTTTGATAGCCAAGAAGTGCGTTGCAAGACCTGCATGGCAAGCTCTTGGAGGAAAGGGTGGCTCAAATTTTGGTAGTACTTCTTGTAGTGAGACGCTCGCAGCGCAATGACAGCACGTGGTATCCACAAAATGCTTGGCCTTGGCGGGTTAGTTCAGGCACTAAGATAGAGAATCATGGAGAAGATGACCTACTTAGCGACACTCTTCTTCATCATCACGCAAGGAATACTTGGACCCCACAGGTGGGGGGTGCCAATGCGCGACTGATAAAGGCGCCGCCACCCAGAAGTCCAAGGCGAGCACCAAAAGGAGAAGATCATCGGCAATCCAATCTAAGAGCGATGGCTTCGAACCTAGAAGCGATGGGCTCCAACCTACCACAACTCATCTCAAAGCCACATCGTTTGTTGCTGATGCCGCCGATCTTCTGCTGGCTTGATGGCTTGCTGCTGGTCTGCTGGCGTACTATAGTGCTGCTTGTTTGCTGGAAGCATGCTTACGGGTTGCTTTGGGCCTTGTAGGCTTTGGTCGCAGTGTGTCTATGCACAGCCTGGTATTTACACTTTGTCAATTGACGCTTGCCTCTTACCTTACGTACAACTAGGGCCTGTATAAGCCATAGTTTTTTTAAAAAGAACTGGCTTTCGTTCGATACTTTCTCAGGTTTGTTCCAAGAGGTCGGCCCTTCAGTCTCCGGCAGGTCCAACACTCATAGGACACCGTCTGGTCACGACACGAGGCTTGGAATACTTCGTGACGTGCTCCGGATGGATCCCGGGCAAGTTTTGGGTGCCCACCGTGCTGATCTTAGAGAGGACTTGGAGACGAGGGCGTCAAACTGAGCGTGGCGGGATGTGAGTTGACGTGAGTTGGGTGTGACTGAGGAGAGACTCGGATGTTGTACTCGGATGTGAGTCCGGACTCGAGTCCGACCGGCTCCAAAAAACACGGTGTCCGGCAGCGATCCTCGCCTGAGGTGGCGATTCCGGATTCCTGGTCCCTTCAACGAACCGTCACCACCTCTGCCGCCTCTTAGATCAAACGCTCAGAGGCATGGAGGGACGCATGAAAGCGGGTGGGGTGGTGGGAGTGGGGGGGGTCCGATTTTGGGCATCTGTTGAGATCAGCTGAGGACACGGAGACAGGGATATCGAGCTTTCTGCTTACGGTTTACGCTGAATGTAAAGATCTGAGCCACCACCAGATCTATCAGGCTTACCTGCGGGAGAGTGACTTGGCAAACTGGGATCTTGGTTTCTTCCAAAAGTCTAGTTTTTAGCAGGCTCGTGAACTTCACTTCAGCACAGGCTAAAGTGTTGTTAGCCTTGGAGGACACTGACAGTTTTCTTGGGAATCTCGACATCCGAGATTGGCAGCCAGTAAATCATGCAGGTCAAACACTTTCCCCTCTTGAGACCTACACCAGTGTGAGTCAAAGTCAGAAATATGGCCCGAATCGTCAGATTTCCACGTCTCGCTTGATTGCGACCGAGGTGAATTTGAATTAGGCTACACAGCACAGATTGACGACTGGATTGCAGCCTGCCAGCCAGGCACCAGGAGTTTGGTCTGTGAGTTAGGATTGTGGCCACATGTTAGCCACAGATCTGGCCACTGTCCGCCAGAAATAGATGCTTCAAAGATCTTCAAAGCTTTCTCAACCTCGTGTCGTACTGAATACTATATATCTTTCGTTGACTCATTTGTCTTAACCTTTTCCTTCTTGATGCGAGATGCTGGGTCCTTTCTGCGTGCGGTGTGTCACCGGACGTGTCACGTGCCACGCCGCGAAGGTGTGAGCTTGGAGTTGGAGGAAAGCGTCAACTTCATCTATGGTGCTACAGTCGTGACAGCCACTAACCAATGCAAACGAGAGATTTGATGCCATTCTTCACAAGAACGGTATGTTTATCCGGGTGTGACTGAAGGGTACTAAACTTTAGGCAAGAAAGCTTGTGATTGAATCACGGAAACCTGCCTCTAGCTCAGGGTCTCATTTGCGTTCCTGAGGTGAGTGAGAACGCCTATGTGCAGTGGGAAGCGGGGCCCAATCTAACGGTGACCTACACCAAGCCAGCCGATGCCACAGATGCTTGGTTCTTCGTTTGTCCTGTGAGTTGCTGTAGGTAAACCCCATCGGTCCCCTGAGTGTTTGAGTTTCAGTGCAGGAGTCCAACTTACTAGCGATGGCCTCCACCTCGTAGCGATGGCTGTTAGAAGCACATTGACATAGTGGCAACACAGAGAGCACTGCACGTCTCCTGCACGGAGTTGTGAGCGATCATGCTCATTCATTTCATTGTTTGGTCCTCGACCTGGATGGATTGTCACAGGCTTCCTAGCCACTTGGAGGTGCGGAAATATCAGATATCTCAGGTCGATTTGCATTGGGTGCCACACACATCGAAACATATATTTCTCTGTTCTGTAGCAGTAGACAGAGTGTGTTTAGTATACCTCCGATGCCTTGTTACTCTTATTACACACACACACACACACTTTTCCACCCACACTATCCACACATATCCACACTATCCATACTATCCACACGTATGTCTCGTGACTGAGGAAAGCGCTATTATCACGTCCTACGTGAAATTTACCATTCAGTCTCTCGCCTGGTGGACCGACCCCTCGGACAGCAACGAACAAGACTTCGAGGCGCGACCGCTTCATCCGACTCTGCTGAACAGGACGCGGTCGGCGTGGAGGGAGTGGTGGGTCCTTCGCATAAAGGGGGATTTTAGATGATCTTAGATGAGTCCAAGTGGTCAACGTGAATGTCCACCTCGGAAGAAGAAACCATGCAACATGCAATGCCAGAAAGATTCCCGTTGCCTAAGTCAAGCAATTTTTGACCCTTCCCACCGACGTTCCAGAAGCCAACGACGTTCCACCGTTTCGCCATGGGCAGATCAGTCTGTGAAGAACTAGCCACTTGTTCCGACTCCTGCTCCATTGATGGAGGCCTCCCAAGGAGACCCGTCCGTCTTCTCTCCAGAAGGATCACCACTACCACTGTCGGTGGAATCAATGAGATTCATTCAGGATTGAAAAAGCATCACCTTTCACGTCGCTGTTCACTGTCTTCATCGACAGGTGTTGGCCACCGTGGTGGACATCGGATTCAGTTGGCCGAACTTCACCGACAGCACGGTGCCCTACCAGATGATCAGATCCTCGGCTTCGGACGATCGAACTGTTCCGCTCCCTCAACCCGTTGGCCCCTTGGCCCGGCGACTCTGTGAGGTGGTCAGAATTTGCTGGCGCCGATGCATGAAAGCACTGGAGTAGCCTTGCCTGACGGCTACGAAGAGCTGCTCGACTGCTTGACTTCATTGAAAGGAGAAATTGGTTCAGAGACTGGGTAAGGTAAGTTTCATTTGCACAAGCAACGAAGGGCCACTCATCGCAGCTTGTGCCTGGGAAGTGGAGTTTCCAGAAGTCAGACTTTTGTCACTTGAGCATGATACATCCACGGTGAGATCTGTGGTTGCTGAAAGACCAAGCCGAGATATCGGGCTGGGTTAAAACCTGGAGCCTCTCCATGTAGCTTGCCCTCCCAGGTAGGTCAAGCAAGGTATCATGTGTTTTTTCCCCACAGCCATATCCCAAGAAGACACGGGATGCTTTTGTGACAACCGCTGGTCGTTGCATCGGCATCTATACAGGCTGGTCTTGGATGTGGGAGCAGAGATGTACTTCCAAATCAAGGCCAGGGCATTCAGGGCAGGGTTTCTAGATTTGATTGGTGCTTTTAGACGCTTTGGCTAGGCCTTGGAACCCTTGGACTCATATGACTACATTGACTCAGACTATGGAACAAAATGCACAATGAACGCCAGAACGCCTTCCTTCTTACAAGAACACTTGGAGACATCAAGCGGTTGAGCCATCCTTCACAGGTCTCGCAGACCGGGTTCAACTGGACTGAGGCCGGGACCGTGCACTGGAATTCGAGATGTTTGCCTTTATCGAAAAAAGAGATGACAAAAACAGCACATCTCTTTCGGACCAAAAATGCTACCTTTCACTGGATTGAACCATTCTTATCTGGCTGTGGCGGGTCAAAGCTGTGGCGCCCGAAATGACCCGACATGAAGAAACCCGGATCAAGCCACGGGGATATGAATCACCCACCAGCCCCGGGCTGTCGCGTGGGTCGCAGAAAAAGTGGCTGATGCTTCAGGTCTCGCTGCACCTGATGTCCGTCAGCAGCGACAGTGGTTTCGAGGTGAATGCCGTTTACCTGGAAGCAGACGGCCAGATCGCCAAGTATTACTTCCAGCTGACCGGTCAAGGGACACAGTTTCTTGTCTTCAGTTCCAGCTTATAGGTGTTTTTGTTCAATAAGAATCAACATCCCATCAATTCTAGATCAGGGAGGTTGTATTTGTCCAGCAGCTCTGGGGTCGTCAGCTTTAGGTCCCTTGGTTGTTCTTTACCATGCCCTTTCAGTGGACTGAGGTTGCCCTTCATCTTGTTGTGGAGATCAGCAGTTTTCGTGATCCCTTTGTGGATCTCCTTTTCGCCTCCAGTCATCTCCGTTGTTTCTCTCACGGCGCCAATCACTACGACGCAAGATGTGGAGGCGGCGGAGCGTTTTGGCGGCCACCATGTCCAAGTAGATGGATTTATAAAACATCCAAGAAAGAATTCCATCGGTCATGGCAACATGAGGAAGATCCGTTGGTTGGGATCTTGTCGGCCTAACCAGTTTGTGCATGCCTTGTTTGGCAGTGACGTAGTATGACATGTACCACACTGTGGGAGGCGTCTTTCAGCAATGTCCCAGACTCCGTGGATGGAAGATCCTTTGCCGAACCAGCAAAGTTCATGCAGATGTACATCATCAAATTTGGCTTCCGGGTCGCATCTTGGGTTTGTGCCCAAGACTTCCATTGTTGTGCCCATGTAGAATCAAAAGACGAGACGGACGTGTAGTTGATAGCCATTGAGCAGCATGGTCTGCGTATTTCGCAGCACAGCATCAGTGAGGTTGAACCACCCATGGACGACCCAGATGTCACCTCTGTGTCAAACTTGTATTCCGACTGATGACCACAGTCTCACTTTCTCTTCGCTGCAGGCAAAACAACTTCGACTTTAAGCAATTTGGTTTTCTTTTGTATTAGAAGCACGTCGAACACATTGGCATGAATGGTCCCAATAGATCGGCCATGGCATCTGGCATGGCCATTCAAGCTAAGGCTACACACAGGAGCTTTGTGGAGCTACAAGCTTTTCAGGCACCTGGTCGTCTGGCAAATGCACATTGGACCCCGGTGCCTTGGAGGCTCCTTGGCAACCGACAGGCCCGACATCGCGACCGACTGACTCGACCGAAAACAACGACGGCCGTTTGCACGTGGTTTGAAGCGGCCTTTGTCCACTTTCTTTCCTAGTAGCGTCCTTGCTCCGTTCGTAGCGATGCCCCTTGCTCCTAGTAGCTTCTCCCCGTATATCTTGCTTGAACTTGCTTGAACGAATTGGCTTTGGAACTCGGTTTCCAGCCCTTTTGGAACAGCTCTTTTGTGGATCAGAACTGAGGATGTGACGATCTACTTGAAGATCTATAATCACCAGCAGGGTGACTTTTTGCTGGACACTAGGCTCAAGTTTGGAGATTTGGCAAATCAAATCATCTTTTGAGTTACTAATGGCGATGGCCTCCAACCCAACAGCGATGGCCTCCAACCTAGAAGCGACATAAATATAGGTCATGAAAACCTCCGGAGTTAGCTAGTGTAATTGCTGATGTGTTTCCCCCAAAAGCTAACCTCTTTGGTACAGGGACATCTCAGCTACACTTCGTTACAATTCCTCCTCAGCGTTGCAAGGACATTTGTTACCCTTTGGACCCCTTGTTCACGCCTACGGCATAGTGCAGAAACGTGGTGTCGTCGGTGTGACGGTGTAACGGTGTCAGGTCCCTGGGGATCAAGCTGGAGGCCTCGCAGGTGTCATTAGCCGCTTGGCCGGACCTGGAGGCCTTCGGTCAGAACGATCCGGAAACAGGCAGAAGGTCTCTTTTCAATACTAAGAAGCTAGTTAAGACGCTTCAAAGACATACTAAAAAGCTTCTTGTTACGAGTAGTAATGGCCTTCACCCTAGTAGCGATGGCCTCCAACCTAGAAGGTCTCTATTCAAATTGTTTGGTTTTATTGACTTGAAAAAGAGTATGAGGCATAGGCTAAGAAGCATTTTGTGCGAATTGAAGAGTGAGAATGTCCATTTACAATTCTCTTCCACTTGGTTAACACCCGACACTCCCATGCGGGCGCTGAGGCTACAAGCAGCCGTCGATTAAGGAGATGGCCTCCGATGTGTTGAACGCATTGAGAGAAGGCATCTTGGCAGTAACAAGTGCCACTGCCACGCTAGTAGTAACAGGTGCCTTACTAGTAGTAACAATGTTTG